GACGTTAAATACTGACTACAGCAGACACTGACATTTAAAACTGACTACAGCAGACACTGACGTTAAATACTGACTACAGCAGACACTGACATTAAATACTGACTACAGCAGTCACTCACATTTAAAACTGACTACAGCAGACACTGACATTAAATACTGACTACAGCAGACACTGACGTTAATTACTGACTACAGCAGACACTGACGTTAAATACTGGCTACAGCAGACACTGACGTTAAATACTGACTACAGCAGTCACTCACATTTAAAACTGACTACAGCAGACACTGACATTAAATACTGGCTACAGCAGACACTGACATTAAATACTGACTACAGCAATCACTAACGTTTAATACTGACTACAGCAGACACTCACATTAAATACTGACTACAGCAGACACTAACGTTAAATACTGACTACAACAGACACATTAAATACTTACTACAACAGACACTCACATTAAATACTGACTACAACAGACACTAACGTTAAATACTGACTACAGCAGACACTAACGTTAAATACTGACTACAGCAGACACTCACGTTAAATACTGACTACAGCAGACACTGACATTAAATACTAACTACAGCAGACACTGACGTTAAATACTGACTACAGCAGACACTCACGTTAAATACTGACTACAGCAGACACTGACATTAAATACTGACTACAGCAGACACTGACGTTAAATACTGACTACAGCAGACACTGACATTAAATACTGACTACAGCAGACACTGACGTTAAATACTGACTACAGCAGACACTGACGTTAAATACTGACTACAGCAGACACTGACGTTAAATACTGACTACAGCAGACACTGACGTTAAATACTGACTACAGCAGACACTAACGTTAAATACTGACTACAGCAGACACTGACATTAAATACTAACTACAGCAGACACTGACGTTAAATACTGACTACAGCAGACACTAACGTTAATTACTGACTACAGAAGACACTAACGTTTAATACTGACTACAGCAGACTCGTTAAATACTGACTACAGCAGACACTAACGTTAAATACTGACTACATCAGACACTAACGTTAAATACTGACTACAGCAGACACTAACGTTAAATACTGACTACAGCAGACACTGACATTAAATCCTGACTACAGCAGACACGTTAAATACTGACTACAGCAGACACGTTAAATACTGACTACAGCAGACACTAACGTTAAATACTGACTACAGCAGACACGTTAAATACTGACTACAGCAGACACTAACGTTAAATACTGACTACAGCAGACACTGACATTAAATACTGACTACAGCAGACTCGTTAAATACTGACTACAGCAGACACTGACATTAAATACTGACTACAGCAGACACGTTAAATACTGACTACAGCAGACACTAACGTTAAATACTGACTACCGCAGACACGTTAAATACTGACTACAGCAGACACTAACGTTAAATACTGACTACAGCAGACACAGACATTAAATACTGACTACAGCAGACACGTTAAATACTGACTACAGCAGACACGTTAAATACTGACTACAGCAGACACTGACATTAAATACTGACTACAGCAGACACTGACATTAAATACTGACTACAGCAGACACGTTAAATACTGACTACAGCAGACACGTTAAATACTGACTACAGCAGGCACGTTAAATACTGACTACAGCAGACACGTTAAATACTGACTACAGCAGACACGTTAAATACTGACTACAGCAGACACGTTAAATACTGACTACAGCAGACACCATAAATACTGACTACAGCAGACACGTTAAATACTGACTACAGCAGACACGTTAAATACTGACTACAGCAGACACGTTAAATACTGACTACAGCAGACACTAACGTTAAACACTGACCACAACAGACACTCGCGTTAAACACTGGTTACAACAGAGACTCACTTTAAACATTGAATACAACAGAGACATGTTGAATAGTGACTACAGCAGACACTCACGTTAAATACTGGCTACAATAGACACTTGCGTTATATACTTGCTACAGCAGACACTCACGTTATATACTGGCTACAGCAGACATTCACTTTTAACCTAGAATGAAACAATCATTGGAAATAGAAGGAACAAAGAAATAAATAATTGGTTTCAAACAGCACTAATTACTGGACATTATGAGGCCTGATGGACTTCAATGACTAGACTGGAGCATACAGAGCGGATTGTTGATACAGACAAACGGATGCGAGTGGACCGCGAGGCAGATTTACAACATCGGTGGGAAGAGGATGTTCAGCATTTTATTATTGCTGCCAATTGACAGACAGACAGACAGACAGACACATGGACAGACAGGACAGGCAGGTAGATAGATAGATAGATAGATAGATAGATAGATAGATAGATAGATAGATAGATAGATAGATAGATAGATAGATAGATAGATAGATAGATAGATAGATAGATAGATAGATAGATAGATAGATAGATAGATAGATAGATAGATAGATAGATAGATAGATAGATAGATAGATAGATAGATAGATAGATAGATAGATAGATAGATAGATAGATAGATAGATAGATAGATAGATAGATAGATAGATAGATAGATAGATAGATAGATAGATAGATAGATAGATAGATAGATAGATAGATAGATAGATAGATAGATAGATAGATAGATAGATAGATAGATAGATAGATAGATAGATAGATAGATAGATAGATAGATAGATAGATAGATAGATAGATAGATAGATAGATAGATAGATAGATAGATAGATAGATAGATAGATAGATAGATAGATAGATAGATAGATAGATAGATAGATAGATAGATAGATAGATAGATAGATAGATAGATAGATAGATAGATAGATAGATAGATAGATAGATAGATAGATAGATAGATAGATAGATAGATAGATAGATAGATAGATAGATAGATAGATAGATAGATAGATAGATAGATAGATAGATAGATAGATAGATAGATAGATAGATAGATAGATAGATAGATAGATAGATAGATAGATAGATAGATAGATAGATAGATAGATAGATAGATAGATAGATCTGTCTGGTAAGTGGATGAATTCATTCATTCATTGGCATCTTTCCGTCTTTCCAGACGACAGTGTTATATTGTGCTATGAGGAGGCATGAGACTCACAGCCCATGGCGATGGCGAGTGTGACTAGCAAGACCCGCCCGTGTCAAGAATAGTCTTACACAATGATAGCATGGGATTTCAGGACCATTGTTAACAACATTTGTGTTTAATCCTTTTTTTTTTTTTTTCAGACGCTCAGCTCTCATCCTTTCTGCAATCATTTCTCCCTTCATTCAGTCTCATTCCCTTCCTAATATGCCCTTTCCACACAACACGTTCCAAGGCATTTTGTTCCCATGAGTCCGCTTTAATAGCTGTATCATTCATGTCCCGCTTGCATACATCTTTATAACGTAGTAGAGGTCGGCCTCGACAACTTCTTCCTGTCTTTAATTCACCATAAAGGATGTCCGTAGGGACTCTGCCATCCTCCATTCTCCAGGTGTGACCCAGCCACCTGAGCCTTCGTAGACTGAGTATGGAAAAGACTGTTGTTGTACCTGCTCTTTCCAGTACCTCAGTGTTTGTGATTTTGTCCTGCCACTTAATGCCAAGTATTCTTCTTAGGCATCGCATGTGAAAGCTATTAAGCCGTCTCTCTTGGTGCAAATAGGTTGACCAAGGTTCACTGCCATAAAGCAGAGTGCTGAGAACAAAAGCCTGAGAGACAAGGGTTTTTGTTTTAATTGTGAGAAGTGGATGAATAATAATGGCTCGGATATATGAGTAACTACATGGACGAATAAACAGACGGAGATATGAACGAATGAATAGTTGAGAGAAGCCACGGATTAGTGAGCGCGCCGACAGACAGGTATAATTAATAGCAGCATTGATAGGACGCAAAAAAAAAAAAATTATAGTTACCATTTAGAAGGAGATGAGGGGAGGTGGGTGGGTGATATCTGCAGCGATCAACCTCAAGGGCTTGGAATGCTGAAGAAAATAGGTGTTAATATGGTGATAAATCTTGTGACTGGACATGTGATTACCTAAAAACCGAATTTGACTGATTGTATAGTTCGTTTTGAAGATATTCGGTCCGATTTTTTTCGTAAGATTTATCAATTACCAAATAACTGACCGCGCGTTTATCCGACAGAATTATTATTTTAGTAGTCTTCTTCTTCTTCTTCTTCTTCTTCTTCTTCTTCTTCTTCTTCTTCTTCTTCTTCTTCTTCTTCTTCTTCTTCTTCTTCTTCTTCTTCTTCTTCTTCTTCTTCTTCTTCTTCTTCTTCTTCTTCTTCTTCTTCTTCTTTTTTTATCTTTTTTTCTTCGTCTTCTTCTTCTTCTTCTTCTTCTTCTTCTTCTTCTTCTTCTTCTTCTTCTTCTTCTTCTTCTTCTTCTTCTTCTTCTTCTTCTTCTTCTTCTTCTTCTTCTTCTTCTTCTTCTTCTTCTTCTTCTTCTCCATCTTCTTTTCTTCCTCTTCTTCTTTCTTCTTCTTCTTCTTCTTCTTCTTCTTCTTCTTCTTCTTCTTCTTCTTCTTCTTCTTCTTCTTCTTCTTCTTCTTCTTCTTCTTCTTCTTCTTCTTCTTCTTCTTCTTCATCTTCTTCCTCTTCTTCTTCTTCTTTCTTCTTCTTCTTCTTCTGCTGCTGCTGCCACTGCTGTTGCTGCTGCTTCTACTACTACTGCTACTACTTCTTCTACTACTATTAATGTTGTTGCTGCTTCTGTTACTGCTGCTTCTGTTGCTGCGGCTCGTGCGACTGCTACTGGAATTTCTATAGCTGCTGCTATATTCTCTTCGGATATCGAGGTAAAAACAAAGTTCTGGTTTTTGCTTATCCAGCAGCCTCGATAACAAACACACCATATTCTTCAAGACTTCTGTTGTAGAGCTTCTCTAGTATTATCTTTTCACATTGTTCTTACTCCCACCTCTTACTCCGTCTTTTGAGAAATGCCTTATATGGTGTGGCATAATAAAAATCTGAACATCGAATTCACAAGAATGCACGCAAGCAGAAAACATACCACACCGTCCCCATGTGTAGCCAAGTATTTCACCCTCAAGAATCCTAAACGGGACGAGCTATTTCTGTACTTCCTGGTTCTTTTGTGGGATTTGACTTTGACTTTGGTGGTTTTTGAGGTACCTAGTTGTTTAATATCCACTTTTATGATAATGCTTAAGGCACAGAAGCTAGTCAATGTAGGGTCGCCTCTATCGCTGACACTTATGTTTATAATGTGGTGAAGCTGGTCGGTCTTTCTTACATCACGCCCCAGGAATATTTCTCCTGTTGTGCCGTTTATCTTGAATAAGTTGTCTTTTAGTTTTGCACCCGAATTGTTGTTGTTGTCTAATGAGTCAATAGAAAAGCGAATCTGCGCATTATCACCAAGATCTTGGTCATTTGCTTTGACTTGATAGATAACTTTTTTATCATCTGAAACGAACCAGTCGATGATAACCACACCGCTGCTGCTACTACTGTTGTCCGCAAATGTATAGTTATCAATGCTGTAGTTATTGAAACAAGCACTAGTGATTACTGGAATGTTATCATTGACATCGTCGACAATAATTACCAGGGTTGCTGTGCTATTTTTCCGAGGGCTGCCTCTGTCTTTGACTTCAATCTCCATGATGTACTGTGGCATCTGCTCTCTGTTCAAACTTACAGCTGATAGGATCTCCCCATTCGGCTGTACTAGAAATGGCGTCATGGAAGATGATTCTGAATTCTCGACTTTGGAAAATACAAGTTGTGCGTTTTTGCCAACGTCGAGATCGCTGCCGAAGATTTTCCCCACCATTATCATTGGTTTTTGATTCTCCTTCACATGGATCTCCTTTGTCGTAACAATTGGGGTGTTGTCGTTGATGTCATCTACGCTGATTTTAACTTCAACTGTTGACGATCTCGCGGGCGATCCAGAATCTGTAGCAACAACTGTTAAGGTATACTCACTGACATTTTCCCTGTCGATCTCTGAGTTTGTAAAAATATGCCCTGAATTCTTGTCTATATTAAAAGTACTGGAGTTATCCGAACTGTCATTGAAAAAGGAGTACTGGACAACTCCATTGAGTTCAGCATCAGAATCTGTGGCTGTGATGACCGTAACGAACGTCCCCGCGTCCACCCCTTCTGTCACATTGACACTGTAGGAAGATTGTCCAAAGACGGGCGAGTTGTCGTTGACATCTACCACATTCACAGTGAAACTCTCCCTGGCTGTCAAAACCGGATTCCCTTTGTCGCTACAAACAATTTGCACCTGGAAGACACTAAAGGTTTCTCTATCAAGTTCCTTCGCCAGTTCGATTTTGTATGTTTTAGGATACACCAAGTTAATGTGAATAAATGCATTGTCCGTCTTACATTCCAATTCCCCAGCAGGGCCACTGTCATCGTCTTTGGTTTCCAAAATGGCCAGATAAGAGTGAAGAGGCGTATCTTCCGCCAGCGTTAAGACACCTTTGATTTGTGAATACGGCAGACCGATATGTATTTTTGGCGGGTTGTTTTTATTCGTGCATGAAATCATCGTGGAGAGAATACTTATCACGATCAACACCACCAGACTCTCCTTACTACACACAGACCAGGTCATGATGGCTTGTCCTTGCGTAATTAAAAACAAATAAGTAGTCTGTTAGTGAAAATCCATAGGAAAATTTTCAGTTTTTTCATTAAAAAACGATAGACAAACGGTCAGTATTATTGTTTCTTACAGTGGAAGACAACAATTTGTCAGTTTTTGTTAGAAATCTTTAGGCAAACAAATAACGTTTTTTTTTTCTCAAGCAAGAGAAAACGCAGACAATAAATTGTGAATGCTCTCTGCAACAAACTTTCAATTTTTTTCTTATCAGAGAAATCCCAAAGACAATAACATGTCAGTTATCCACAAACACATTGTCAGTCTTTTTTTCTTTGAAGATCTGCAGCAAACAAATTAACATTCTATATATTTAGTGAAAACCTTTTCGATTCACATTATTTCTGTCTTTGAGAGAGATACCAACTTTACCAGCTGACAGTGGGAATTTTATTGAACTGCTGTAACTATGGGCAGCAAATAAATTGAACAGAGGCCAGACAAGCTGTTCTGCGGCTCCAGACTTCCCAGCTGGAAAAAAAAGAGAGAAAAGAATGTATGAATACGTATTTTCTTACCAACGTACCAAAAACACATAATCAAATTATCTTAAAATAATCGTTTGAATTATGATTGATTGATTTGATTCAATAACCGACATCACAGCACTCGGGGCATTCCATAAGCACTCCGTCCCCATCTTCAGCAGCCAGAGAAGAGTTCCGATACTAATGGTGCCAGTAGCATTCTGATTAAACGTCCGTCTTGCCTTTCCTCTGAGCCTCGAGCATCTGCCAGAACCTCTCATCACTCTCCCCTGCATCAATCTCACCAGACTGTGGTGATCCATCTGCTCCGCTGAACTGTACACGCTGTCCTACAAGTTACTAACCACTTGACAGTACCAACGGCTGTCAGAGGTTCTAAAGTTACGTACCATCATGTTTTATGGGTGTAAACTTATCACCACCATTATCACTTCACTCTAATCTTAGGTGCTCAGTTATCTAGCTGAAGCCTCTCATTACCACCATACCATCACTGTCTATTATAATAATAATGATTACTAATGTCATCCACTGATTGCTAGGTTAATAAATCAAATATATGGTCTTATCCTGCATCAGTTTTTGTAATTCCAAATGTGTCTGTTCGTTTAATTAAACTGTCAAGATAGAATTACATTTGGCGGGGGCTCAAATAATAATTCTTTACCGGGAGAAGGTGGGAGGGGAGAGGGGGGGGGGGGGGGTCATTTGCCCTGTCTAATAATTCATTCAATATAATGATATAGACATCTAAAACACCTTTCCTTCTCTTATGGGTACCAAGTGCAGCTAATGTTAAAGAGATTAACGAGCCAATGTGGCAGTTTTCTTGGATATCCAGGACTTTTTCTGAGAGCAGCATAGCTCGGAGATTAGTCTTGTTAATCTTGTGGAGGGGATGTGTTGAGAGAAAAATCCCTACTCAACATATAAATAAATAATTAAATCCACATCCGTTACGTCACAAAATCCTCTGAGCGAGCATTATCTTGAATCAAATGCTGAATTTCCACCTCTGTGGCACCTGCTGGCCAGTCTCTGCATTCCCGGCTCAGCGTGATTATGACTCTACACAAGTCTGACTGTTCAGGTGGCACTTTGACCCACTCCTCTCTTTGCCTTATGTTCTCAACTATGCAAACCTGTCTGATTGTGTCTTCTGCCTGAGCCATACATGACCTCCTTCTTATCAGCCACAAATCCTTAACTGCACCCAGAGCTTCATGCAAAGGGTGGTCTGTGTCTGCAGCTACCCTGGGATATGACTTCGTCTGCAGCACCTTGTGCCTACCTGCAACCGTCGGCAAACCAAGGATGTATCGCATACACACCACTGGGGGGTCTCTGGTGCAACACAGAATGACCCGCATAGCCGCGTTCTGTATGCGCTCCAGTTTGTCCATCTGACTCTTTGAGACGGTAAGCAGTCCCAGGCCATAATCAACCACTGACAAGTATGAGGTGCTGATATAGTATGAAAAGCATTCTCTGCTCTATGTGTTTGAATTATGAATTAAGAACTAACATCACAGCATTCAGTATATTCCTTTAAGCGCTACATCCCCATCTTCAGCAGCAAGTGCAGAGTTCCAGTTGCAACTGATTGTATATCCGTCTCACCTTGTCCTTCAGTGTTGAGCGTCAGCCAGATCCCCTGGACACTAATCGCAGCACCATTTTTCTCAGACTGTGATGATCTATTTGTGCCTTCACAGAGTTTACTCCTTCCAAAAGACCCTTTAAACGTGTAGCTTGTCATGTGTCAGTCCATCACCAAGTGGCACAGAACCAGCCAGTTTATCTTCCAGTTCATTTCCCAAAATACCGGCATCACCTGGCGAATTATTCAAAGGACCAAAGGACGCTAACTACACAGGGCCTCTGAAACTATGCTTTACACTTTCCACGGAGCATACCTCTGTCTACATTTTCCAACATGCCCTTGGAGTGAATGCATCCTGTGTTACTTATCAGCAGATAATATATTTCAGGTCAGTTAAAGGGTAGGTAGGTAATATTATGTCTGTTAATTATAAATTATACATTGTGAATTAATATATAGAAAAATAGGTGAGTAGATGGTCCTTAGTCTAGGTTCCAACTTCACCGCTGAACAAAACAGTCCCAGCAAACACTTGAAGCCCCCACGCACGAATAGTAAATGCACAAGGCAGTGGTCATATATACCTACATAAACAGTCTCCTACCAAAATTGAATCCCACTGTTCACGGAATCCCATTGCAAATCACATCCACAGCTCGAAGTCTTGCACCAAGCCCTGAACTCAAAAGCTGAGCGATGGAACCTTTCACTCCCAGTACAGAAATTAATAAATAAAATCAGCAAACCGCGGCAAATAACTTTTCAGTGTATCAGCAGCCAGCAAGGCTATCCGCCATATTGGACCGTAAGTCCATGTGTCGAGTGAACAGATACATATATTTTTTAAAAGGTTAGTTGCGTATCCTTTACAGGACGTTGCAGAACCAACCCCCAACAGCCCCTGGCTGTTGTGTGGTTTTTTTAGGCAAATTTACGTCCAGCAGTTTGCCATTGCCTCTGGACGGTCGGCTTTCTTGATACCACTGTCGAAACCAACGAAAAGCGAATGGCCGGCAGCAGGGATCGAACCCGGCATCCCGGCATTACGAAGCGTTCGCATTTACTTAGCCACAGAACCGACAGATACATATATAAGTTACCATATATGTCTTCCGGAACAAATGAGCACAACTTCCTAGCAACAGAGACGAGACTTCTTAAGAGAAAAACTGCCCGAGAGATCAGAAGATAAAATATCAAAAATGAAGAAATTAGAACTGCGACTGAAACAGGTTATCCAGTTTAAGGAAGAGCAGCGGATAAGATTGTTTCGCCATCTGTCGAGAATGTTTTGACTCCGTCTGCCACTGAGAGACACTATAAAGAAATATAATGAACATACGCAAAATATGGATGGACAACATAAAGAACAGCTTTAAAGAAAAACAGAAAAACTTATGCAAACATTAGAAAGAATACACATAAGATCTTTACATTTCCCCTCGAAACTACGATGAGGTAACTGGAGAAAGAGAAAAGAAAGAAGGAGAAAAAACCCTTACACATCTTCTTGTAGTACAGCGGTTCTCATCGTGTGGGTCGCGACCCTATTTGGGGTCGAACGACCCTTTCACAGTAATCGCCTAAGACACATTTTCATTAATTTTATGAAATAGCAACAAAAATAATGTTATGGTTGGGGGTCACCACAACACGAGTAGCTGTATTAAGGGGGCGAGGCATTAGAAAGGTTGAGAACAAATGTTGTAGTACATCTCAGCCAATGGCGCAGCAAGGTCAGGCGGTACCCGGTGCGGAAAATTTCCTGTCACTTACTTCGCTCCTACGCACGCGCGTGCACGCACACCCCTATATATATATATATATATATATATATATATATATATATATATATATATATATATATATATATATATATATATATATATATAAAGCATGGATAACACAAGAAACCATTAAACTGATTGAAGATAGGAAAAGTAAAAAGGCAGAGTTAAACAATAGCAAAACTAGAGCTGCTAAAGCTAGAGCTCAGGAAAAATACACAGAAGCCAACAAGGAAGTTAGGAGGCATATAAGGGCAGATTGGCATTGTGGTGCTGGGGTGTCTGTGGATTACCTACCTCCCCGGGCAGCAGCTAGAAATGCCCTGTACCAGTTCTAAAGGAAATATGGGTTGTGTTTCTGCCTTTCCCTTTAACACGTAGCTAAGGTGGGGCTCACAGTGTGCTCATTCCCCGCCACCAGATTGCCTGCAGGTTTCGCTGAGCTCTTCATGTCTCTAAGCATGGCCTAAGCATGAGTAGTTGGGGCAACTGGATCGTCACGTCCTGAGTCCCTGTGCCTTCACGATAGTTTCCGGTATTCAGGGGGGTTAGCATACTTGTTTCCATTCCTAAGACTGTTCAGCACACCTCTGGCTCCTTCCCCTCTCACAGGGGGCAGTACGGTGTGGTGCACCGGGTTTATTATCGAGGTTTGCTCCTCTAGATCCATTGTGTTTTGCCTGGGGATTCGCACCCCCAGTTACCGGGACTACCTCGGGGAGGCTGTGACTCTTCGCCACGCACAATGGTCTTGAGGTAAGAGAGGTTTTGCTAGGTCAAGAGGCTGACACCACAATGGACGCTCCTTTCGTGAACAGATATTCACTAGATCTAGGGTGAAGACAGGGGGGGGGGGGAACCCACTACCCACAACACCAACACTTCTTACCCCCTGCCTCTCAAGGCTCAGTCCCTATAAGGGCAGATAAAGTGAAATATCTAAATGATCTAGCACAAGAAGCAGAGTCAGCAGCAGCAAAAGGAAACCTCAGAGAACTTTACAGTTACACAAGAAAATTAGTAGGTAAATATAGTCAGCCAACTGGATCAATCAAAAATAGTCAAGGAAAGGTA